CCCCCCCCCCCCCCCCCAGGAAGAAGACCCCTGGAGATGACCCAGGCAGTGCCCTGCACGGGCTCACTTCTGGCCAGTCTCCCACATGCATCCCGTGTTCCAGCCACACTAAGCTCAGCGCCACCTCACAGCTATGCCTGCCCAGACCTCCCTTTTTGGAGGCCTTTCACAGACTGTTCTAGTAACACTGCCAGCTGGTGACAGCCGCCCCAGCCCTTGGACCTATTTGCTGTCCCCAGCTGACCTTGCTTCATCTTTTGGTTCTCGGCTTAGAGGGCGCTTCATCCAGTGAGGCTCTGTCTTAGTCCATTTGTGGTGCTAGAACTGAATGCCACAGACTGGGGAATTTGTAAAGACCAGAATTTGTTTTTCATAATTCTAGAGGCTGGGAAGTCCAAGGTCAAGGTGCCAGCAGGTTTGGTCGTCTGGTGAGGGCTGCAGCCTCTGGAAAGGAGGGACATGTGTCCTCACGTGGTGGAAGAGGGAGCGACAGAACCAATCCCCTCATTCCAGAGCCTTTATAAGGGCATTAATCCCATTCCCAAGGGAGGAGCCCTCACAGCCTAGACACCTCCTAAAGGCCTTGCCTCTTAATACTGTCATGATGGCAACACCTGAATTTCAGAGGGGGCACATTCAAACTGCAGCACCTTCCTTCCTAGTCTCCTGTGCTCCCTGGAGCTCCCCATGCCTCCTCGTCCTGGGACTTGGCGCACCTGGCTGTAGTGACACCTGCCTGTTCTGTTGTCTGCTCCCCTAAGCAAGTGACGGCTTCACACAGGTCACCATTGTGGCTGACACGTTCTCTCTCATCCTCCCTGCACCCCTCACAGTGTAGGCTAAACAGGAAGTGCTTAATGAATGTTTGATGAGTGAACTGTGACTCGGCAATCCCAGTTCAGAATAGCAACCACAAACCTCAGGGACTCATGCAGCGTGGCACACCTGGGGCTGGGGACTGAAGAGGCAAGCAGCTGCCATCCTGCTCCCTGAGGAGGGCTGGACTCAACGATGTGAATGTGCTGGCCACCCTCTTAGACCTTCTCCCTGCTTTAGATCTCACACACCTCCAGGAAAGTCCATCTTCCTTTCTTTTGCAGTTTTGGAGCTGCACGGGGAGCAGATGAATGGTTACCTTGGGTGATGACCCTTCCTGGATGTGAGAGGTGGCCCATTTCGAGCTCCCAGGGCAGCCCTTGTTTATGGGGAGCAGCATCCTTGGGGAGGGGTGCCCCATGCTGCTGGCATCTCATGGGATCGTCATTCTGTGGTCAGGGCCAGCTTCAGATAAAGGATTATTGATGAAGTGGTCCCTAGGTTATTTGATTAATTAATGTTAAAGTACTTGTTAAATATGTACCAACTACAAGAAACTGTCCTGGAAACAGTGGTGTAGACACATCACCTCTTGACTGACTCTTCCCATGATACCCCCTCCAATGACTTTTCATTGTAACCTGCTAGAACTTAAGCTCTGCATGGTGGGGACCCAGTTTCGTTCTGGATTTTATCCTGAGTGTGTGGCATACACCAGACCTGAAATAAACATTTATTGAATAAAGAGCACATCACTCCCTCCAATACATTTGCTGTCTGGCTAAATTCCAATATAGAATCTAAATATGTAAATAGGGTACATTTAAATATGGGAAAAAGGATTCACATATGTAAATAAAGTTTGCTCCTTTTTCAAAAATTCCTTGAGTTCTTCCTGGAAAACCTGCTCCTTCTTACTTTCCCAGCAGATAGTTCTAAATACCTGGAGCAGGGAGCTCCCTACCTGTTGTAGCTACCTAATGGTGTCACATGTATTAGTGTGTCTTTTTCAGCCTTCAGTGAGAATTGTAAAAATGTAGGTTAACTGCCCATTTGACCAACCTTTTTTTCCAATGGGAATTGTCTGAGAGAATAAAACATATGTAGACCTCAGCCTGACAGAAGTGGAGTGTTGCTGGAGTGCATGTTTGGATCCAGCAGAAAGTAGATCCTTGACAAAGCAGAATCAAGGGAGGTTTTAATCAGCCCTGTTGGTACGAGCGAGGGTCTCACAGCTCATGGCAGCTTTGCCGTCTCTGATGCAGGTAAGGTGGTCGGTGCTCTAGCTTGCTCTGACAGCTAGAATAAATGACTGGTATAAATGTCAGGGACTGGTATTCACAGATTGAAATAAACCCCGGCAGTGCCCAGAGTCGACCTTCAAGCTTCAGTGCTGCCTCTATGAAGAGGTCAGGTGACCCTTTCATGGAGGAACTTTTAATGCTTATTTTAGCCCCCAAAGGTACAACGAACACACAGCCATTAGCTAGAGAAAATGTAGCGTGAGTCAGAGGTGTGTCTTGCAGGCAGATGTCTCCCCGAGGCTGCGCCTCCCTGAGAAGATCGTGGAGTTGGTCATAAAATGTGACACATTCACATTTTCACTTTACTCTCAACTTTTCAGGACCGTGTCCCCGTAGAGAGCAAGACCGAGCTATATTTCAAGAAATGGTGGTTTCCTTCTGTGCTGATTGTAATTTTTATCCATCATAGGTTTGAAGACATACCTGATATCGGGTCAGAGAGCCAAGGAGTCTCCCTGCAGCTGTGCAGAGGCCTTGCTTTCTGGCTTCGAGGCCATTGACGGCTCACGGGTGTCCTCAGGCCCTAGGGGACAGGGGACAGCATCAGCAGGGAGCGTCAGTGACTTGGCGCAGACTGTCAAAACCTTTGATAACCTTAAGGTTAGTTTTTTTTTTTTCCCCTACTTCTAAAACTTTATATTAACTCTGCAGTAGAACATGTGCAGTAAATGGCCTTTAGGTCTGTGATGAGTGACTTGGAATGCCCTTTGATTTGGTTTTCATGATTTTTAAATTTAGTATAAAGCTAGCAGCATTTTGCATTTTTAATATCCGTGCTTTTTGACATACTACGCATCTGCATTTCACTTCTGTATTGCAAGAAGATGCTTCTCACTGTAGTTATTATTTTCTTTTTCTGTAACCTATGGTGTCTTTTGGGATTTCTATAAGCTAAAGATAAATGACAGTGAAGGAGATTCTCCTTGCATCTTGCTTGGAGAGCTAGTTTCTATCTTATTTCAGAGACCATTTTCTCAAATATTTCTGCATCTCTTGAAATCCACTGTTTCATGATTATTTTCAATTTTGTTGGTGTGGGTAAATCTTGTAACATAGCTTGCTGAAAGACTACAGGTTGCCAAGAACATATGGTATTCACTTATTGGAACAGAGACCTCCTGCCGGCTCTCTAGAAGTGCCCATTTCTGGATTAACATTATGTCATAATAAACTGCCAAGGAATTAACATGATCGACCTGGGCATATGAAGTCATTCAAGTTTATGGACTGTTCCTCAGATTTCACATGTGATTTAGTTCCCCCACTTGTACCTTCTGTTTATTTGTACTGTTTAAATTATTTCCATTTTTAAAAAGAGAGTTATAACTGTTCTACTTTACTGTTTCGTGCTCTCAGATAACAAAATGATGTATTAATCAGGATGATGGCCTATTTTATGGCTTTACTCCAATGTGTTCCAACATATCCATATTCATTAACAGATGCGAAAGCTCGCTATTGGCATTTAAGCTTACCAGGGTTCGTAATGTGGCCATCAGCAGGCATATCCAGATCATGTTACTATGTCGGAATCCATAGTGCCTATCATCCAGTTGCTTTTTGTAAGTATTGTCTTTAGGTTTATTGACAGCTCTCATATATCATTTTCATTGTGCACTTTGTTAGTTTCATGTAGGATTTCTCAACCTTGGCATTATTGACATTTGGACCAGATAATCCTGTGTTGTGGGGGCTGTCTAGTGCATTGTCAGCTGGTTAGCAGCATCCCTATTTACTAGATATCAGTAACACCCCCTCCCCCTAGTTGTGCCAACGAAAAATGTCTTCAGACGTTGCCACGGGGTGGGGGGTGCGGGGCAGAATCTCCCCTGAGTGAGAACCACCAGGCTTGTGGTGTCAGACCCTCTCTTTCCCCTACTGTGTCTGGCACATGCGTACCAGTTAACATAGCTGAGCTTCCCTGCGTGCCTGCAAACTTTAGAGACAGCTCCTTGCTTGGGCTGGTGTTTTGCAGCATCAGGAAGAGTAGCTCTTGGCTCACAGACTGTTACTACGCAGGGGCAGAGAAGAATCGGTGTGGGCGAGGAATTAAAAAACGTTGCTTTCAATATGGTTTTATTACTCAGGGAGAAATCGTCCTGCAGGCTTCACACTGAGCTGTATTTAAGTAGAGAATAGAGCTCAAAGCCAAAAATAACTGATTTGTTGTGCTTGTGTGCCATTTTAGATTATGTATATGTTTCTGGCTGGTAAGGGATACAGTTGCTGAGTTTACCATATAACATACTTGCAATTTTAATAACAGACTCTGTGCTAAATTGCCTTAAGAAGGTTTTCTCTCACATCGAAAGAACATTTCTTATTCTAATTATATATTTACTTTGATCTGGATGGTCAAAAACTGTTGAGCATATACTATTGCCATGTATAGACTCTCCAAGTAATAAATGAAAAGGTTCTGAAAACGCTGTGATCTATTAGGTTGGCTACGTTTATTGAAAAGAATTTGAGAAAAAAAAAAAAAAAAGATTTTAGTGCCCCTTCCAGGAGGGAATGATCACGAAGTTGGATCACAAAGTATGATTTCTGGTACATTTTGATAGTTTGGGGAGGACACTAGGATATCTGAGACGAGGCCTGTCCCAGAAAGTTAGAATCATTTGGATTCCACAATTGGAGTAGAAAGAGCAGGAAGAGATGGAAGACCTGGTCTCCACCAGCCTTTGCCATCGTCAGGAGCCCTCCTGGGTATCTGTGAGTGAAGCGTTATGAACCAAAAATGCTAAACTTGAAAAGCAGAAAACTGAGATCTGCTTTAAAAATTATATAGATTATAATCTGATATGTACTCTTAGTCTCACCCAAGAGTTTTCAAACAATAGAAATGTGAAACGCCTGTTGCTTGCTCCTACAGTCTTTGGGTGGGTTTATTTTACAAACTTCTCAGTGCCCCACACTTACGTCATTGGCCCATCATCTTAGTAACATTATCTGCACTGGGGTTAGCTTTTCTAAGAAAACGAGCTGGAATCGCCGACTGCTTCCTCCTGATCCTTTAGCAGGGTCTGTTGACTCTTCTGTCAACGGGCTGCTCTTCCTCTGTCGCTGCTGCCACCTCATTCAGCGGGAGTCTGTTCTCGTGTGGGTTTCTGTCACCACCCCACAGTCCGTCCTCCTGCCTAGCTGATGAGGCCTGGAGAAAGGCAGTGGCTCTCAAAGTATGTTTCCTCAGGTGGTAGAAATAGGTGTCAAGTATGAGAAAAGACTGTCGTCAAGTAAATTTGGGAAATTCTGGATTAAAGAACACAGAAAGGGTTTCTTTACTGCAGGACTTCTCAGAGCCTTTAATATGCTAATTGGCATTGCCAGGTCTCCAAAGGGAGCCGTGGTAGGCAGCATCTGCAGGCCTCTTTGAGCACAGATTTCTGCTTTCAAGCTACACCTTACAGGGCGAGTGCTGTGGGTTATATCTTTTGGGGGTATACTGATGGAGGGAAAACTTTCATGCCAAGAACCAAGAAATTAGAGAAACAGTGTTCAGTAAATATCCATCAAGTGAGTGACCACATGTCTTGCTCCTGCTGTTCCTCTTGCCTGCTATACTCATCGCTCTCCTCCCTCTAAACCTATCTTTACACATCACCGTTTGGCTTCATGACCATTTCCTGTGCCTCCTCTTGCTGATACCGCTTGTCTCCTAAATCTTAGTCCCACCACTTGGCTATAACATACACGACCTCAATCTCTGTTTCCTTCCCATGGGCACTTTGGATGCAGAGACCACATGTGAAATAATTGACATATTTCCAAATGAGCAGCACAGTGCCTGACATGTAGTAGATAATTTCAACTTCTTTTTAGCTGAAGTTTTTAATTCTTTAATGACACACAGAGAGATAGACTCTGCAGAGCCAGATTAAGAAGGACCAAATTCAGAAGCTTTGGCAGAACTATTTAGAACCAAAATAATGTCCATGAAAGATTTATTTTCCACCCCTAGTGTATGCGTACTGTATGTCTTTAAGTTATCTCCTAATTCATAGCTGGAAAATTCTTACCTAATACATCATAAAATGATCTGAGTACTTTCAATGACCTACCAGAAAATGGTTCTGATGTCAAAGGTCAGGGGTTTTGGCTCTGAGTTCACAGGTCAAAGGGAACCCTCTCCACATCCAAGTCTTGGCTTCTTGAAGTGACCAGCAGTGAGTGTCTCATTAGGAGGGCCCTGGCATTGCCGATGGGGGCTGGGGCGGCAGATACTGCCAGAACCATGGTGCTCTGCTCTCTGAGCCTGAGCGTGCAGAGACTCTAGAGTTTAGGGTTGGGGTATGAGTCAAGAAAGAGGCCAAGGAATGAGCCGTTAGGGATGAGGACTCCACACACCAGCTTCACAGAAGGCAGCTTGTGTGCTGTGGAGAGGGCCACGACTTAAAATGGAAGATCCTTCTCAGAGCCTTGGCTTTGGAACTGTGAAGATGTCACTTCATTTCTCTAAGCCACAGTGTTCCTCAGTGGGGGCTGTGAGGAGGAGGAAATCTCAGCATTGTTTGAAGATTAACTGAAGTGATGCTTGTGAGTGCTGGATCTGGGGTAGAGGCTCAGTCTGCACTGGGCCATGTGTTTGTTCCACCCACGCAGAGCCGTGGACATTGACTGTGGGAGGAGTCAACAGGAACCAGGAGGAGGCAGACAAGCTGTGCGGATTTGCCCTCCAGAAGTCACTGGCTCTTGGGAAGGTCTCAGCTTGGCCATTTGTGCTGATTTGAAGGAGATTCTTCCAATTACTGCAGTTGATCATTGCTGTAGGGTACAGGTGCTCTCTGTTGTGAGCAAGTCACAAACATGACATAGGAGTGTGGGTACCTGTGCCTGTTTTCTGTGACATCAGCTCCGCAGCAGATGTTAGGTGCCCATTTATGGTGAGCACTGTAAGTGCTGGACAGATCGAGAGTCCATATGTCAATAAAATTAGCTTCTCTAACTTCTTTGTGAAGAACAAGGAAGATGAAAAAGAAAGATTGGATGGGTGTTTTTTTAATCCCATTCATTTAATCCTATCAGTGAACCATTTGAGCTGGAAAAGCACCTTGATTCGTCTCTGAAGGACCTCACTGAGAACGCACCTGCATGGCTGGTCTTTGTGATTTACACTCATCAGTTATCCACGTGTTTACAATCAGGAATGAAGCTGATGGGGTGGATTTGCTCTCAGGGGGATGACTCGGAGAAGATCTGTCCTGTTTTTAGGGGTTTATACCTCCCCTTTGAGGCCACAGGCCCTGGGAACCATCCTTTTGTGACAGTTGCCATGACTTCTTTAGTGATACTAAATAAATGACCCCTTCTTCTACCCTTGTTATCTATATGTAAAATCATTATGAATAGGTCAGTTGGCTCAGTTGGAGGAAGTGGAGGGCCTTTTAGTTCATTATTGAAAAGATAATAGGTTTATATTTTGTACACACACACTCATATGTATAAAATTTAGAAATTAAATAAATATTTATCATAAACTGTAGTCTGAATTGTTGGTGGTGATGGTTCTGCAACCCTGTGAATATAATAAAAAACATTGAATTATACATTTTAAATGGGTGAATTGTGTGGTGTGTGAATTATATCTTGATAGAACTGTT